TGGGAGCACCCAGAGCCTTTCCTGCAGGGAAATTTGGAATCAGCACCCCAAAAAGAGTTGGTGGGAACACCCAGAGCTCTTCTGGGTGCACCCAGAGCCTGCTCCTGCAGCCTGAACTTCCAGAGAGGCTCACTCCTCGTTTCTGACAGGAATCCCAGCAGGAATTTTCCATTTTTCAGCTGGAATTTTCCACTCCCAGCAGGAACTGGGGAGGAGGGGAAGGAGCCACAACTGTGCCACAGCTGGCAGTGGCTCCCCAACTGCTTTGCTGTTGGCATTTCGGCTCCGAACAACTTCTAGAAAGGTTTTTTTGGTAATTTTTTCACCCTTGCCAGAGCTCGGGGAGCTGCAGCTTGGAAAAATCCCAGCTGGAATCATTCCCAAAGGGAGGGATTGGGGCAGGGGAAGGGGCAAACACCTACCTGGGCACTGCCAGGGGGGGCTTTGCTGGGGCACTGCCTTTCCTCCTGAGCAGATCCGAGCCCAAACTCTTCAGCTCACAGCTGCTTTCGAAGGGAATTTGAAAGAGAATTCCAAAGTTTTCACTGGGAAAACGGAGTTCTTCCCCCACTGAGTGCTCACCCCTGAAAGGAGGCCTGGGGGGGTTTTTCCATGAGCTCCAACCCAGAGTGGTTTGGATTTTTGGAAAGGACCTTCAATCCCACCCTGGCACACCTTCCCCCACCCGAGCCTGCTCCTTGCAGCCTGCCAGGGATGGAGCAGCCCCAGATTTCCTGGGAATTCCATCCCAGCCCCTCCCAGGGAGGGATTTCCTCCCCAGCACCCCACTGAACCTGCCCTTGGTGGGTTCCAAATCATTTCCACCTGCCCTGGAAGCTCTCCCAGCTCCTTCCTGGAACCTTGGTGAGCTCCAGGATCTGCTCCAGGAGCTCCCTGGCACCCCAGGCTGAGCCCCAGGAGCTCCCTGGCACCCCTGGAAACTCAGACTGAGCCCCAGGAGCTGCTCCAGGAGCTCCCTGGCACCCCTGGCACCCCGGGCTGAGCTCCCTGGCACCCCTGGCACCCCAGGCTGAGCTCCAGGAGCTGCTCCAGGAGCTCCCTGGCACCCCTGGCACCCCGGGCTGAGCTCCCTGGCACCCCTGGCACCCCGGGCTGAGCTCCCTGGCACCCCTGGCACCCCAGGCTCACCTCTGAGCTCTCCTCTGCAGGTCCTGGATGTAGTTGCTCCTCTCCATGGGGTGCCCTCGAGCTCTGTTGAACACTGGGGACAGAGTTACCCCAACACTCGTCACACCCTCGTGGCTGCTGAGCTGAAACCCTCCCAAAAAAATCTGCTTTGCACTTGGTTTTTAGCTAACTAAAACAAGAAAAACCCTCCCTGAACGATAATTCTTCTTTTTCTTCAAAAACTCTAAACTAAAAACCCAAAAAAACCCTGTAACCCACCAGAGCCTAAGACATTACAAACCAAAAAAGCTAATAATAAGCTTTGATATAATAAAAATATATTTATATATTTTTATACAACATATTACTTAATAATAAATATATATAATGTATAATACATTATTTATATATTATTTATATAGTAAGTGCCAAAAAAGCTAATAAAAAGCTTTAATACAGTAAAAATATATTTACACATTTTAGATAATATATTACTTAATAATAAGCATATATAATATATAATATATAATATATAATATATAATATATAATATATAATAATATATTATTTATATAATGCCACAAAAGCTAATAAAGAATTCAGCAAACCGAACTACAATCCACAAAAAAAACCCCTCCTAAATTTACCATCTCTTCAAAAAAACAAAAAGTTCTGTTGTACAAAACTATTCACTTTTCATACTTATAAACACTTGAATTAACAATATTTTACACTTTTCTCAAAAAAAAAAAAAAAAAAAAAAATAAAATAACATAAGAAGTAATTGATTTAAATTAACATCACGTTTTAAGGAATATCAGCAAAGAAAATCTCAAAAAAAAAAAAACCAAATAAGAAGAAAAAGCTACTTAAACCTATTTAAAAAAAACCAACAAACTTGTTTAAAAGTTTGCTCCCAAAATGTTTGGAGCCATCCCAAAAATCGCCCAGCCCAGCAGGACACTCACACTCTATGGCAGTATTGGGCTCCATGCCTTCCACCTCAATCAGGTACCTGAAAAGAGCAGCAAAATTAATTAATTACACAATTAGGAAAACACTGACAGGCTGGCGATGACTCAAACAGAAAAAAAACAAACAAAAAAAAGAGTTTCAAACCTTTTATTTATGGAAAATCAGCGTTTACTGCTGAATTTTGGGATGAAAACCACCCCCTAACAAAAGCTGTGAATCCTGGCGAGTTTGGGGTGCCAAAAATCCCTCCTGGAATTGGCAGCCCCGGGTTTGGGCTGGCAGAACTCACCTGCAGACCAGGTAGCCAGTCCTGTTCAAGCCGTGCGTGCAGTGCACCCCGATGAGTTTGTCTG